TTTGCTTTTAATTTTCTAAAGCAGGATGGGCCGCTATGCCCCCCCCCCTATTTACGCTCCCCTCTCCTATATCTCTGGTACCCTCTAGACTCCAAGACCCCCCTATAACCTATATCTCTATATCTGTTATATCTGCTACCTTTTGTTCCCTAGCACTTAATCGAGCTTCCGGGGATATTCTCTGAACGCATCTAATCGATAGGAGTTTCATTGGATCGATTGTAAACTTGAACATTTAAATCTGTTGATGTTACAAATTCTATGGTACCTGAAAAGAAAAAAGACTATTATGCCTACTAAGACATCGAAGAAGTTGGTTTACTACGATGGCTAGGCGATGATCCAAAATTTTCAACAGTTTCAATTGCAGAAGTGATCTCGTTGCTATTGGTCATTTCACTGTGTTGACGTGTAATATTTGATGATGGTAATGGTGTTGATACTGGATTTGTAACTGCATATAATGAAAGAAAAAAACTGAGCTTAGTGTAAGTCGACACTGGAATAATAGTCTAAATAGTTTTTCAGAGATTTTCACCGAGTAGGAAGAACAACATTTGTACGATGATATATCAAAAAACTTCGACCATTATGTCCCTAACTTATTTAGTTGATCGTTTAGTTCAAAATAATAGAAATAACATACCTTTCTGAAATATATTTCGACGTATTTCACTATGGTTACCTCGTAAATACTTAGAATTCGATTTTTGTTTTTTTTCTTTCGTTTTTTTGCTGAAATAAAGAGAAATAAGTCAACGGTATTATATGAAAATAATACAGTTGTAAAAAAAATGGTACATTGAGTTCCTTTTCCAATTACTAAACAATCATCTTCATAATCATCCTGATCAGAATCATCTTGATCTTTTTCTTCAGTCAATGATGAATACAAATAATCTGTCGAATAACCGTTCATTTGTTTCATTAACTTATCACGTAGTTTTCGGTCCTATAGAAAACGTAATTTATCAAAGATCATTATGATTTTATTACAATAAAAATCTTACAAAACTTACCGACAGTCAGTAACTCTCCATATATAACTTTGCCACCACATGTATACGACACATCATCATCTTGAATATTACATTTATCAAATGTTGCAATCATTAATTCATTGTTAATCCCACTTTTGAAAAGGACATGTGCGAAAGCATTGGTCCTTGCAGTCATAATATATCTATAAATAAGAAAAGTACCTCAACAGAAATCTAGTAGAAATAGAATAACTGGATTCAGATCATGCAGGGAAAAGTCATAAAACGGTTTCGCTCAATAATCTCTTGTTAGGTCCTTTTCCCGTTTTCTTTATTATTCTTACTCCTTTCTTTTCAAAACCAAACAAGCGAATGAATCTACAAACAAGAAAAGCAACAAAGAATGTAATTCTCTCTCTTTCTCTTATTCCATTCTTTATCGTTCGTTATACATGATGAAAGAGCCATTGAGAAAGAGGGGTAAGAATGCCATTGATGTACAGTGATGATATCATACCAACATGGATTCTCCTTATGTCAGGAGATATCTCTCCTGACATAACATCTCTACTCTAGCTTTGCATACTGGTCATCTAATTTGAACTAATTATTTTGCTATGTTTCTTAAAATAGACCGGAAAAATCTGCAACATATCGATGTAAAAACTATAGTCGTTATTAAATAAAATATGTATCTCTTATTATATTTCCTGATTTTGTTAAATGATAAAACTATATATGCGTTTTTTTGAATATCATATAAATAGCAAGCACTTGTGTGCATCAAGTCATCTATAAAAGAAAAAAGATTTCAAGATAAAGTTAGTGATATCATTAAAGCCTTAAGTTGTTTAATTGATCTGTTAAATAAAAACAGAGATCGTTATACTTATTCACAGTTAAAAATTTTCACAAAAAGAAAATTTTAATCATGCTCATAATTACAAAGCACTTCTGAAAATAAATGTAAATCATAAAATGGAACAATAGCATACTGATGTAGAATGTGTTTCACATTTATAATAGAAAGATCAGATGTGTTCATATCAATTACGCTGTAAAAATCGATCAATAAATGGATGAGCTATATTGTCAAGTCCATCAGTACGTATTGTTCCGATAACATTATCGGTACATTTTAATAGTTTAATAAACGCATAGTTTGTAGATTCATACTGAAAATACCAAATTATGATAGCAAAGCATTTATGTTTTTTTTACTGGACACGAAGCGTTTTTGAAAGAAATTATGTTGGTTAATTGTGAACCTATTCTACTATATAGTAATGAACTAAATTTAACAGTTCGCCGTTGAAAACGGCAATATAAAGAAAAATTCTCATTCATTGCCTCTTTAAATTGAATCTTGTATAAAACTTGGAAGTCATTAAAATAATCGTCGTGAACATTTAAATTTACAAATGATTTGTCGAAGGTTTTTTCATCTATGAATATACTATTAACAGTGGTTTTTGTATGTTCTTGATTCAATTCCCAATCTCGTAATAAATAGGATTTAAATATTTGAAAAGGGATTCTTCTATTCCCTGTTCTGCTTCTCTTCAATGTTCCCAGAAAGCTTTCATCACCAAAGCATCCATGTGCAAATAAAGCTCCATGTGAGAGCACTTGTTCAACAAGATATTTATGGGCATGCAAGCTGTACAGATGAAGTTTTTCATCTTGATAGACAACCGAGATATCTTCACGATATTTATTGAGAAGAGGTTTGACGTTAACAACATCTTGAATANAATGGAAGAAATATAAGCAATCAAAGAAAACGATAATCTTTTGATTTCCAATAGTTGATGCAGCTTAGAGATGTAATGCTTAAAGAGTTCATCGGTGTAATCAAATTTTCTGTAAAGGATGAGAGATTCGCCAGACCATATCTCTTAATCCAAATATTCAATATTGGAGACATATGTGTACCGAAATAAGTTAGGATGAAAAATAACACTTACAAAGCAAAGCTATATGAAAGTGATTGTTCCGGATGAGTGTCAATTTTTGTTAGAATCTTATAGAAACCTAACTTTTTATAAAAAGTGGAATAGTAAGCTTTTCGTTTTTCTTGTATCATAGCACAAAAACAAAATCGAATACTTTTGCTTAAAAAAGTCATTGGAAACTCACCTACAGCAAAGATGCATATAGTCAAGCGGGCAGTTNATAAAAAATGTCGTCAAACGTAATTTACCTTTAATAATCGAATACTTTTGCTTAAAAAAGTCATTGGAAACTCACCTACAGCAAAGATGCATATAGTCAAGCGGGCAGTTGGCTTGTACATTGAAAAATAAAGATAATAGCGGTGATTTTCCGTGCACATCAAAAACAGAAATTTGATTTTGATTACATTCGGCTTCAATTGCTGCATCTATATAATCACGATGAGAACGAGTTGGCTGTATTTCATCCGAAGAATATCCAGACAGACACGACCCTCAAAAAAACGCGCTAGAAATCTGTAAAAACGCTGTTTTCACGCATCCCTAAAAATAAAACGACGTTTTCACGCACTCTTCATCCGTTGTTCACCGTACATTCATCGACGAACTTTTTCGCACTAAGAAAATCTTCGCTAACTAGCGTTGATTTAGCACCTTTTACATTGACAAATGCGTTTAATTATGGACACGTTTTATTGAGTTAGAAAATATTTCTTTTTTCGATGTAATTCGAGCAAACTCGATTCGTATTAACCCGTTCAATCACGAACATCTTTTAATGAGTTAAAGAAGATTTCGTAAAATGTCAACGGAACCAATGTTCGTTCCGTAGACTATACGAAGCTTTCATAGTTTTTGCAATTAACTCTTCACCAGTTTATTATCTATGTCAAACTTTCCAATAGCTTATCGGGGTCACTGAGTCCAAATCCGTTATCNGATTTTGCAAAAAACCGCGTCTGAACGAGATTTTACCTTCAGCCGCGTCAAAACGCTTCGTTTGTTTCACTGGAGACGCATTTAGACGCGTTCGCTTCTGTACGTTTCGCACGCAAATGGAACGCATTTAGACGCGTTCGCTTCTGTACGTTTCGCACGCAAATGGAACGCGTTTCAGACGCGTTTCGAGGCAAAAAATATTTACATGGGAAAGAGTTCATCGGTGTAATCAAATTTTCTGTAAAGGATGAGAGATTCGCCAGACCATATCTCTTAATCCAAATATTCAATATTGAAGACATAGGTGTACTGAAATAAGTTAGGATGAAAAATAACACTTACAAAGCAAAGCTATATGAAAGTGATTGTTCCAGATGAATGTCAATTTTTGTTAGAATCTTATAGCGACTTAATTTTTTATAAAAAGTGGAATAGTAAGCTTTTCGTTTTTCTTGTCTCATAGCCAAAAACAGAGTCGAATACTTGTGCTTAAAAAAGCCATTGGAAACTCACCTACAGCAAAGATGCATATAGTCAAACGGGCAGTTGACTTGTACATTGAAAAATAATGATAATAGCGGTGATTTTCCGTGCACACCAAAAACAGAAATTTGATTTTGATTGCGTTCAGCTTCAGTTGCTGCATCTATATAATCACGATGAGAACGAGCTGGTTGTATTTCATCCGAAGAATAATAGACACATGTTCCTCCAACAGTTTTCCCACGTTGCAGACAATTAGAACAACAATAATAGCCATTGTGTTGTTTAGTGCAAATCGATAATGAACGACATGGAAGATCGGCTTTAAAAAGTTGAAATTTGATATTGAACTTTTGACCACTAATAACAGTGAATTTTTCATTAATTATTTTTCTCATCTGTTGGCATAGATTATCATAGATAATTGATGGTGTAGGTTCATTTTCAGAGAAATAAAGTACAAAGAGAAGTTTATTTCGAGCATATTCACGATGAGGAGGTGGAATTTCTAAAATTGTTCCTGTTACTGCATAAAACTTTTTACGCTTTGTTGTAACTAACTGAATTCCATCAGCATGAATTGTAAGTGTTAAACGATTAAATATGCTATCCTTATGAATTTGTTGATATGCTACACTATTAAGTATATCATTAGGTAGTAGCAAATGTGCACGTTGTTGATATTCGGTTATTAAAGGTAAATTACGTTTGACGACATTTTTTATTCGATCCACGATATTAGCTTCAGCAAGTTCAGTTACACTGTCATTCGTTCTTTGTTTGCCATAGAAATTACACGTAGAAGAGCATTTACCATCGGTAGGTTGTACCTAAATGCAAAGAATAGAGATGAAGCGCTACCATTCAAATGAATAATCTTTGAGTGTGTTCTGTAGTTACATAAGATTTATAGGAAGCTTTTTATATAAACTTCATGAGTAAATATGGTTTCAAGGGAATTCTTTTAGCCATGGTCTATTGTTAGTAAATTCATTTGAAGCAGTGAAAAGATGAATGATCTCAAAACTAATTAGCCAATGCTTATCTTTTATAAATAAAAAAGATCTATCTTGTGCATGCTAATCTAACAAAAAGTAAAGAAAAATTGTCCACTCTAAAAAGAAGAAATTTTCAACTGAGTATGTTCTACATAAGACTAGATTATCTTACATCAGAAACATTTTACAATTACCTCATGGTTACAATTAATACATAACGTATTATAGAAAAAATTTTCTTTTTTCTTGTAGCATCGTAGAATACCTAATTTACTTAAACCGTGCCCGACAGGCAATAAAAATAAAATCAATAGAATCAAATTTAAAATATTTGTGTACGATAAATTACATTTAATAATAAATTTTTTAATAGCTTTATATGCTTGGTAAAGAGAGATTGAACCATCTTGGTAAAGAAGAGTGCCATCATCATCGTCATCTGTGAAACAGTCTAAATCAGAATCTGATTCTGTTTCATATTCACTATCAATAATAGAGCTATCTTCGTAAGAAGAACCATGACTTCTATATTCATCATCATTTGCAGTATTAAGTTGGTTAAAATAATTATTTACTTCATCTTCTTGAGGATCAATATTATCAACATGATCACTACATAAATAAAGATCTTGTGGAGGAGTCGGCTGCATTTGTTGAAGACGATTCGATATATTGTACTTTCGTTGGCGATAATTCTTGCAATATTCTGCATTTGTAGTCATAATATAAATATCTGAACTAATCTAAAAAGAAAATCCGAAAAATTATTGCCACTAATTTTTTTTTGAACTAAAACCATTTTCCAAAAAGCAATTGCATAATAAATTTGGATCGATATTTTGTTCAAAAATCTTTGATTGCTTTAATTTTATTGTTTCGAATACCAAGTTGTTTACTTTAAACTCTTTTATTTTACTGTATTGTTTCTTTATATCACGCTGTGTTTCAGCAACCAATTATTTAGCTATCTTTGTCGTCATTTCAACGTATGTAATTTAGTATGTATTTCAAAATATTTATGCACTTTGTGGATTAAAATCACGAAAACAGAAACTCCCCAGGGACTCCCCTTAAGTGGACTCCCCGGTGAGTTTTATTTTTTCACTACATGCCGACAACTAAAAAGTCTCTGGGCACTCCCTAGGGACTCCCTGTGGATTTTTCAACTTTAGGGATTCACTGGGGACTTTGAAGGTGACTCCCCAGGGACTTCACATATTTTCGGGGACTCACCGGTGATTTCGAAGGTGAGAGTTGATTAGGGAGAGCTTTGTTTATAATTATATTTAAAAAAAATCAATATTGTTATTCTATTCATGTTAAGGATTAAACATGATTATTATTTTTCAAGGAAATTAACTTAAACTTGAGCTACGGTAAANACAATTAATACATAACGTATTATAGAAAAAATTTTCTTTTTTCTTGTAGCATCGTAGAATACCTAATTTACTTAAACCGTGCCCGACAGGCAATAAAAATAAAATCAATAGAATCAAATTTTAAATATTTGTGTACGATAAATTACATTTAATAATACATTTTTAAATAGCTTTATATGCTTGATAAAGAGAGATTGAACCATCTTGGTAAAGAAGGGTGCCATCATTATTGTCAGCTGTGAAACAGTCTAAATCAGAATCTAATTCCGTTTCATATTCACTATCAATAATAGAGCTATCATCGTAAGAAGAACCGTGACTTCTATATTCATCATCATTTGCAGTATTAAGTTGGTTAAAATAATTATTTACTTCATCTTCTTGAAGACGATTCGGTATATTGTACTTTCGTTGGCGATAATTCTTGCAATATCTGCATTTGTAGTCATAATATAAATATCTGAACTAATCTAAAAAGAAAATGCGAAAAATTGTTGCCACTAGTTTTTTTTTTGAACTAAAACCATCCTATGTAATAAAAACAGCATGAAAATCGGCGGTTAACCGCAGTTTTACCGGTCCGGCTACCGGCTCCCATTGCCGCAGGAAGGATAAATACCGCGGTTTACCACAAAAAATGATCCGATATTCGCAACATGGGATTTTTCAAAAAACAATTGCATAATAAATTGGATCGATATTTTGTTCAAAAATCTTTCATTGTTTTAATTTTATTGTTTCGAATATCAAATTGTTTACTTTAAACTCTTTTATTTTACTTTATTTCTTCTTTATATCATGCAGTGTTTCAGTAACCAATTATTTAGCTATCTTTGTCGTCATTTCAACGTATGTAATTCAGTATGTATTTCAAAAAATTTATGCACTTTGTGGATTAAAATCACGAAAACAGAAACTCCCCAGGGACTCCCCTTGAGTGGACTCCCCGGGGAGTTTTGATTTTTCACTACATGCCGACAACTAAAAAGTCCCTGGGGACTCCCCGGGGATTTCACATATTTTTGGAGACTCATCGGTGATTTCGCAGGCGAGAGTTGACTAGGTTTACTATAAAAAAGATTATTATTCAAGCAGTGGATTATTGTCTAAAGGAAATGCTCAAGCGCCTTTTATATTACTCTATATCAAAAGTAGAATAAATTAAACTGCTAAGCAAAGGGCGAGTGGTGTGGGTGTAAGCCTTCTCTGGACTCACAATTTCAGTCGCAGCGACACCCTAAAAATTATTTTTATCCCAGTAAAATTTTATGACAAAAACTGTTCCTTTCGTGAACAGATGGCGCCAGAAAGCACTCATTTACCCTTTCTTCTTTGAAAATTCTAGTCATAGTATTCAAAAACCTCGGCAGTTTTACGGTGACTGGGATAAGTTCTAAGAAGATTTTGGGAAAAAGTATTCAAATTTGTTGAGTATAACTTTAGATATACGTATTTTTGTGTTTGAACGACAACGGTAAAATACGAGTGCAATTTACCTATATGTGTTGGATTGAACGGTTCTTTTCTATCAATTGTTAGAAATCAGGTTCTCCTTTTTTCGAACTATTTTACATGATCAATCACATATTGAATTAAATGTACTTCAATTTTCTAGAGCATTTATATTCAGTCTTTATGAACGATCTCATGAGGTGAAGCCACCTTGAATAATCTTTGGCAGCTTCTTCGTCCATATTTCGTGCTTTGCTTGGTTGTCACACAGGATGTAAATCGCATCTAACTGTGATATGTCATGAATTTCGGGTGCGAAGAGCCGACCTAAAACAACCGATGAAAGAACGAAGATTTTTGTGCCATTTGTATCGTTAAGACGTTGAATGTATTGTTCCGGGGCGATTGTGCCAAGAAATTCTGACAATTTTCAGTTTTTTCGTCGATATTTCTATCGATCCCGATTAACAAATAATTTTGAGTCATGCACTGTCCTGTTTGTGTGTCATTTGGTGCTATGATTGAAGCTGCCGAAGGGCTCGTCTCTGACCTAAAAGCTTATGTTGTGGATTTTCTTTTCACTCATATTGAATGTACTTTGTTGTGTAGCCGATATTCAAGGCTGATAACTACTTGTCTGCAATTCAAGTAGAGTTTTTTTTTCGTTCTATCTTTTACAATGCGTGCCTTTTCTCTTGATTTCTTATACGACATAAGAACTGCTTATCTTTTCTAATGTTATTACTCAAGGATAAATTCTATCTAACTTCAAGTCAAAATTCGAACGTAAAAGGTAAATGACACAGAAAGAAATTCAGTCATTTCATTAGTTGTATCATTCTTCTTCGCACATTTTAATTAAAACAATGGTATTGTACTATCTAGAATATATTTTTTCGTATGTTAAACTGGAATATTGCTGAAAATTTTAGATAACAATGGATGAAAACATACAATCATGGGAAGATCTTATCATTAAGCGTAGCGGATATCCAAAGTTCAAATCACGCACATGTTGTATCTACAATAGTAGATCAAAGCATCCTGCCAATGATCCAGATAAGTTGTGCCCTTGCGGTCGTATGATTCGTCGTCATAGTTTACTTGGCGATTGTCTAGAATCCACAGAGGCAAAGAGGGGAAATACTGAATTCCCAACACCTGATAGATTTCTCGACGGTAAAAAACATTCCGTTGAAGTGCCTGTCAATGTATTTGGAACGTTGCAACCGAGCGGTTGCAAGTTTCTGCAAATAGATGTTCGATCGCCAATGGAAAATATATTTCAATTAATTCTCGAAGATTGTGGAGAACAGAAACCAGCTCTCATTTTAAGTGTTTATGGTGGCGCTAAATATTTTACAATGACAGAACGACTTGAAAAAGAATTTATAAGAGGTGTTATTGATGCTGCTACTATGGCCAGTAAATAATTAAGTTTCGAATATTTTTATATTAATAGATCCATTTAGATGCGTGGATTCTTACTACCGGCATCAATAATGGGGTATCAAAATTGGTCGGTGAAGGCATATCACATTATTCTCTCTTACGTGAATATTCGAATAAAGTGAAATGTATTGGAATGACTATGTGGGGTACAATAAATGAAAATACACGTCTTAAACTCAAGCATACATCGAGCGTAAAATAATGAAAATATTTGTAAGAATCGTCAAATGCATAAGATGATTTATTTCATAGGGTAATCCACCACCATTATGCGAACGACAGATTCCAGCACAAATCGAAGAAGATAGAGAAACAATCGAATTGAATCATACACATTGTATTTTATTCGATAGTGGTAAATTGTTTGACTATCTCAGTGATTCACAGCGTAATCAGTTTGTTATCGAAGCATGCAAAGATACAGGTGATGGTCATACATGTATGTAATTTTTGTTAAATTTCCTACTGTCATTAAAATTAATTGAATATACATGAAGGCTATGCCGTAACAATCATTGTCGAAGGAGGCACAGGTAGCCTTGAAATTCTTGAAAATGATATAACAGGAAAACGGCCAATTGTTTTGATTCAAGTTTGTATTCCATACGGTTCGTTATATTCATGGTTTTACTATCGTTGGAATATAGGGTAGTGGCCGCTTAGCCGATTTACTCGCTATGCTTATCGAACAGACATCAAATCCTGATCGAACTCAATATTGGTAATTAAATATAATATTGTGTATTTGCTTTTACAATAGATATTTCTGTAACAGGGATCCAGAGCAGCAAGAAATCCAGCAAGCTCTTGATCGATTTTTCCCTGATCTTCCCGATTCAGAAGGTTCTACAGTAAAAAACCAAATTCAAAAAATTCTGAAAAAGGAGAATCGTCACCTGCTACATGTTTTCTCAATGGATCGTGATAGAAATGTAGCTGAAACGATTTTCAAGGCTATATTTACAGGTACTCATTTCAGCAAATGAATTTTCTCATTGATTAACTTTCATATCATATAGCTACAGAAAAGAAAACTAAATTAGAATATAATCAGAGAAACAAGAATGAATTATTGGAGCAAGAAAAACAACGTCGAAAAGATGAAGATAAACTAGTAGATTTGGCACTTGAATGGAATTATTTCGATGGTGTTTTACAAATATTACAAGCACGACAAGGCGAACTTATCAAGAAAGAAAAAGATTTCATTCAGGTATGTACGTATGAAAAATGAACACTCGTTAGCACTAAGTATACAATAGTAAACTAGAGTTCGATCGGGTTAGGCTTTTTTGTGCCCTATGGCCTTTCTGTCTATCCATGTGTCAAAAATCGAAGATTAATCCAGATTACCCAGGACGCAGCACCCGAAAATAGGATTCACAACTACATATTAGACCTTTTGGGGTCCCCACGTCGTTCCTATAGAACAATCAAATTAAAATGAATACATTGAATTTAGTTTATTTCAATTTATTACTATATTCAACTGTTGAATAATAACTTTGAAAAAATTAAATCAAAAAACAATTAAAAGTTTTAAATACGATAAAAAGAAAACGCAGAAAAATAAACAATGCTTACCTATTCTTCACTGACTTCATATACTAATAAAATTGAAAAAAAAAGAAGTACACAATAAAACAAATTTATAACTCATTCTGAATTTTTTTCATGCTGTAATAAAACCTTAAATAAAATAAAATAACTTGAAAAACAATAAAATCAAAATTAAGTTAAATATAATTAAAATCTAGCATGACCGCAGCGTAGAAATTTCCTTTTGGTTCAAGTGATTAATCGCTCAAACTTAGGTTATTTGGAAACTGCCCCCCCTGACTTAAGCGCTAGGAAGAAACATCATAGACATCTCGATATAATCAAAAACACCAACTAAAAGTAGTATTTCATTTATTTTAGGTAGATATCGCACGGCAAAAACAATTGTTCTTGAAATCTCTGGAAAAAAAGCGCTCAACATTTATTGAATATTTTCTTATTTCTGGTTTTGATCTATTAACTTTAGTCGAGAATGATGATATTCCTAGATATCAAAAATTTATTTTAGAGTTATATAACAAAAGTTATAAAGAAATGAACAAGGTTTGTTGGCTTTGTTTTTTATGCGATTCTTTTTATTTTATCTATTTTAACATTTTAATTTAATACAGAGCCATAAGAGTCGCGTAAAAATGTTATTTGGTGCAACAAGTTTTTCTTCGATGCAAGAAATCGACTATAAGTTAAATAAATTTGTCGGGTCCTTTTTTGGATCGATCTGCTCCTCTAAAAACAATAGTTTTCTAAATCGCATTAAAATTGATTTGAACAATCGTGTATGCACTTGCTATGGATCAAATGAGCATGTTGAAGAAAATTATGAATTAAATGTTATTCAAAATATTGTTAAAGTTTATCCAACAGAAAACAACTATACAAAACATCACATTTTGCGTGATCTATTTTTATGGTCTATTTTTATGGATATGCCTGAAATGGCTAAAGTCTTACTTTTTCATGTCCGATCTCGTATTTGTGCTGCTCTTATTGCTTCAGCTATATTTAAAGAATATTCAAAATTGTCGCCAACAGTTGATATGAGAGATAAATTTCAAACTCAATCGTTGGACTTTGAAATATATGCGTCAATGTTTGTTGATAAATGTTATGAATATAACGAGAAACGTGCTTGTGAATTACTTCTACGACAAATACCGATTTTTGGAAATGTTACATGCATGCAGGTTAATTTAAATGATTACATTTAATTCATAGAATTTTCTTTTTCTTAGCTTGCTATATCAAGTGCAAGTAGTAAATTACTTGAAACAGCTTGTTTTGACCAAACATTAAATCAAGTATGGTTTGATAAATTATCTTTGAGTAACCATCAACTAAAAGCAAAAGTATCGCGAACTCTTGCAATTATGACTTTTGGCTTAATAGCACCTTGTACAGTCAGTTATCGAAAAGAAACTGACGATTCATCGAATGTATGTAAAAGAATTGATTTTTTTCAATTAGAACTCGTTTTTTTAATATTTGATTTCAGAATACCAAGGATGATGCGTGAGTAGAAATTGGTGAACACTTTTAATATTTTACAAATGAATTCGGTTAATTGTAGCTTATCTCAAGATGGTATAAACTATTATGCTGATGAAGGAAATTCCAAAAAAGGAAAATGGACAACTTATTGGAGACGATTTCGCTATTTTCATGAAAGCCCAATGGTAAAAATGTCTTATCATTTTGTAAGCCAATATTTTTATGTTTTACAGAGCAAATGAAAATTTTTTTTTTTCTGATTATTTAGATTAACTATCTATGGTTTCTACTTGTATTCAGTTATATGATGCTTTATCATCTTGATGGGCGAGACACATTTAATATTCATTGGACTGAAATCTATGTGATTATTACTGTTTCCTCTATGCTTTGTGAAGAAGGTCGAAAAGTAAAATTAATTTTTCTTTTTTTTTTGTAAAAATTGTTTTATCTTATGAAGGTTTATCATGAATATGATACACGCATGACTGAACGATGGGGTTCAACTGGATCTACTGCTTTAACATTATTGTCGAATATATTTTATATTCTACCTTATTTTCTATTTTATTTGGGTCTTGGCTTTCGATATGGTAGTTATAATGAAGATTTACTTACTACTGCAAGGTTTGGTGACGCTTTTGAATAATTGACGATGAATGCAATGCATTTCAGAATCATTTGGGCACTTGATCTTGAACTATGGTATCTTGGGTCGCTGAAATTTGTTATAGCTTTAAAATTTTTAGGTCCAAAATTATTTATGCTAAAAAATATGGTCAGTTAAGAATTTTATTAATATTAGATAGTAAATTTTCAAAAAGTGAATATTAATTTTAGCTTCGTGATTTATTTGCTTTTGTCTATATGATTTTTATAGCAATAGCTGCTTATGGAGTTGTATCTCGAGCGTTGATTTATTATAAAGAAGTACCATTCACAAGTCGTGGGATTTTTAGCGGAATTTTTTATGAACCATATTGGTTTATTCACGGAGAAGTGTCGGATAAAGACTTGCTTGATGGTAATTATTCGTTTGCTTATTTTAAAATAATCTATTTAGTTTTAATATATAGAGCGAATTATGAATGGTACGAACGATGGAGGAAAAGGCGTTGCAGAAGCAACAGCAACACATATTTTGTTGGGATTTCATATGTTATTTATTAATGTTCTTTTACTCAATTTACTGGTTGCCGTTTTTGCGTAAGTGTAAATTGAAAATGTGCGCGAATAATAGATCCTACTCACGTCATACTAATGAAATATTTTCTGTTATTTCGGAGTTCAACACCGATGCCACAATAGACGATACATTAGATTATTTCTTCTATCACTCAAAGAAAAGATTGTATTCGATTAGCGATGCTATGAATATATCTGCTAACTTCGAGTGTGTTATTTAGAGTTGAAATGCTAGATAATCAACGCTTGCTATATACTTTCTGTAGTGATCTGTTTCTGTGATACATTTTTTTTGCAAGAAACGCACGATGCTGATAGTAATATCTAAACAGAATCTCAAATAAAAAAGTCGAGTAGAATTCTATTTTAGGCTAATGATGGAGAACATGTAAGAGATCAGATCGACTTACTAGTACTTTTTTGTCCGACTCCATTGTATCATAGATCAGCAAGAAGAGTGCGCATAAAACTAGTATTTTTGATCTACTACGAATTTCAATATATAATGTGCTCCATTTTTTTAAATAAATTTCGATAGAAACATCTTAGAGATCTGCAATAGGATTCTGTCAAAATAGTCATCGATAAAAAAGAAGACTCAACTAGTTTTAAATAAATATTTCCACTTCGAATACTATTTTTCTCTTTCAATCTAGTGATTCCATTGGTAAAGTTCAAGAAAATACAGAATTTTATTGGCGTTATCAACGTTATTCATTTGTACGAGAATATTTCGAGCATTTACCATTATCCTATCCTCCGTTAATTATTATCTCACATATCATATTAATTATTTTGAATATTCAAAATATATGTTGCTCGAGCGCGCGTCGACATCGAATAGTAAACGATGATTATTTACCAATATCGAAAAAATTCACACGTATTTTTAGTAAGTTTCAAAGAATCTTCATTATTTTTAAATTATTTTAAGCGTATATATTAAAAACATTAATATGCAGAGTATCGCAAAAGTCATCAGCAGTAAAGAAATGTGTATAACTCCATTAGTAAAATCTAATACATTTTTTTTTAATTTTGGAAGAGAAGAACATAGAATTTGTTTTGTTTAATACACATTTTATGAATAATGTTAAAAGACACTGCCTTTGATTTCAATACAAAAATGCAAGCACCTCACACTTTCCAAAAGCAAAACATCACACAATTCTTCTTTGTACTATTATTTAGATTTGTTTCATTATCGCATAGGATTGGAGCATTTTTCTTTCGTAAAAATTGGATTGAAAATATGTAGTCTTTTGTCGTGTGCGCCAACATCTTATGGAGACACCTTAAAGCAGATGTTGGCAACACAACAGAAAATGCTCTGGATGAGAGTTAAAGACTAAAATCGCGGTGGAAATGAGAATAACAGAAAAAAGAAATGTTGCGTGATGTTTTTGAAGAAATTGAGCAACGCTTACGTTTTTATACTGAGTCAAAGGAAACAATTTGAACAGGATTTATAAAATTATTGTAGCTTATCGTTTACAGTGATACTCGTGTCATTAATCGGTCTTGCTTCTGATGAAAAGTGAAACGAGAGACATTATTAAAGTCTTGCCTCCTTATCGGTAACCTTAGACATATACCCTTAAACTTGTACTCTTCAGTTCATAGACATAGGCCGACGCCATATACCATTCCGTTGACACTCATGCCCGTAGATCGGTCGTTAGCCGTCGTATCTTGGTGACATTCCTCATTTTAATATCTATATTTATTCGTAATTTCTACTAATTGTAATGAGATTTTGTAGAGGAAGTGTATTCAAATGTTGTTGTAAATTAATCACATACGTTGAAAGTATTTATTTTGAGAATATTTCTATAAATAATTTAATATTTCTGCTGCGAAACAGTTTATACTTGAAATGGATGCTGATATTTTTAATGAATATATCGTCAGAGATAATTTTCATAGTAGTGACTGTATTATGGTTATCAACGAGAAACACTCCTCTTCAACATGGGCTGATCTTCAGACCGGTTTCATCTCTTCCGCGTACAGCTTATCTATGCAATGGTTTACAATCGTAACGAAACGTCAGTCACTAGGACCGTAGCTTTGCGCTAGTCGCATACAGCAATTTTGTACGATCGTGTGTAATTTGATCTGAGGCTCCTCTCTCTTCCGAAAAAGACTACATAGAGCTTATTGATAGTAATAGAGTTCTATGCATTTCTCAAATAATCATCACGTTTGAGGCGCCTTTAGAGATGATTCCTATGCAATACTCACAAAATGAACAGTGGGATTTATTTGAAAATGCTGCAACGTACAGTTATGCTCGTTCAATATTGCAAACAAATAAAAACAACAATAATTCAACTATCAATCATAGCAAATCAAGTAAAACATTGACTACAATGGAGTACGCTTGCTGTTTTTCTGTTAGTTGTAGAATTTAAATTATATTTAATTATTATTTATCTAGTTCGAATATTGAAAAAGCCACTGCTGATCAGCAAAAAACAATACAAAATTTATATGAATTAATGACAACATTCCAATCAGCTCTCAGTGAAACTCAGAAGGCATTAGAACAAGTATAGAATTTGATTTATATTTTCAAATTTGTTTTAATACGTTTGTGCATTTTATTATTTAGACTAATTCAAGAATGGAAAATCGTTTAGATCAGGTAGACAGTTTTTTATATTTGTTCTCAAATATTTGTGAGATTTCCTTTCAACGTTAAAGATTAGTAAATCACTTGAATCGACAAGGAATACAACTTCATATGGGAAAACGAAAGATCAGACAGTTTCAAGACCTACATCCAGCACATCTTCTGTAAAAAGTGATGTCTCGTTTAGAAATCAAGCAACAACATCAACCAGAAAGTCTGCTCAATAATTATTATCTGTGATAGGAATGATAATTTCAAGTTTTTTGCGTAATTATATTTTCTATTACTATTTTGTGATTTGACTCGAAATTAATGCGGAAATTTTTCCATTACATTGTGTATTTACATATCTATATAGGATGTCTTAAAAGGCGTGTTTACATGCAATAAACAAATTGAATATACTCGTTGTATTTGAAATCAATAAGTTCAGTTTTTACCATTGATAAGGCAATATTCATAAAAGAAATATTAAAAAAACCTAAAATACTGTAAGGATGTGGGGCACGAGAGTAAAGAGATAACTTCCACTCATACCAGTACCTACTCACTAAGGCTACAATATCTATGATTCAAAGGAGTTCTTCAAAAGTTCTAAACATCACTGGTCGGCCAATTCCTTTTTGAGGCACCGCAACAAATGAAAAGAGCGTCTATATAACGAACTAGAGTGTATATAGCGTAGAAACGTGTTTTTCGATAGATGAACATCAGTTTATGGACTCATTGAAGGGTTCAGCCAGCTCAATGCCTAGGAACCAGAACTCATAGATCATTATCGAAGAACTGATTTGATACGGAAGTGGCATAATCTTAACATCCACACCTAATGAATTCTTCGAGGCAGAATGTCAGCAAATGCTTGAATTCATGTTAAGCGGATATTTTTCATAGATCTGCTGGTGTAAAAAAACATTCAATAGTTTATTATTTCAAATTTTTTCACTATGTATAAACTTTTCGCTTGTGATAAAAACGTTTCCTAATGTGGTCCTCTCAGCTTTGAGAACCTCAACTTTCAAGCTCTCACCAATGAAAATTGATTCGAACAACATCTATATACCACTTTAAATTTAGAAGAGGATTAAGCACTTTTGATATAAACGATTGGCTTTTCGTATGATATACTCTAAATAAAATATGGCATAATACCGTACTTTTTCAGGTCTGGCAACAGAGGTTTCTCTCATGGGTCCATGGACATTGAGTATCAACTTTGAACAGACGTACTGCTAAATCTACTGTTTGAAACTAGGGTTATTACAGTTCTCAGATCTGAGCTCCTACACTAGTCTCATTTGGATTACAGAACGTCACACGATTCTCCTGCTAACTATCACGAAATCATATTGAACCAAGAAGACTAAACAACAAATAAATATAACGGATTAAAATTAAAGCCCCAGCAGCACAAAATGACGAGTTCAGAGAAAAAAGGTCTAGGGAGACGACACTGCGTGATTGTATGCTCATATATTGTAGACAGGAACAAATAAAATCGTTACTTTTTTTCTAAAATAAAGCGTCCTTGTAAGCGCCACTTCACAATAACATGAGAAAGAGAACAACCACGCGATTTTTTGGCGTGAAAAAAATAAGTATTGTCTTCATCAATGTTAGCCGCTATCTCGCTTTTTTTCTAACGCTTGAGTGATACGAAACATCCATTTAATGAAGGAGAGAATATTAGAGCTGTTTGCATGGAAAATGATAAAGCGCAAAAGAAGAGGATTCGATAAGTAAGGAAATGGGCACCTTCCTTGAGGGTATGGGTGTGATTTTATGTTACTGCATCTATACAGCTGCTCGCCCACACCCACACCCAAAAGTCGTACATATAGACATGTAAAAGTACAACTATATTTCAAATGATAACTAAAGTCGAATATAACTTGAAGAGTAAATCTCTGTCAGTCGTATTTATCTTGCTATTTTCTACTCTCACTGAGATCTACTGATGGACAAAATATAAACTAGATTTGTGAATATCGTCGCGAGACATATCCTTGTAAAACATCATGCGAAACAAGTGTTAACCTACCCTCAGATTATCTAATTCGTAATATGATTTTATTTTGCAGTAAAAAAAGTACAAAGCTAACGAAAAATCTCTCGTTCTTTAATTACTGCTGGTGAGCATGTAAATTAATAGGACGACAAAATAATAGATAAGACAATCATTTTCTTCGTATATGTTTTCATTTTCAAAGTACGTTCCTGTTACAAAAACAGTACACATGACAAGACCTGATTCATTCGACAAATCCGCTTTCATTTAGGCTTGTGGCAGATCACAGTTGTAAGAATGGAGCCCATCAACCAGTTCTTCTCAGAATAACAGGTACCCGTGGCTTGCTATCTTTCAAGAATTCGGTTCCATAAAGACCTTTTTTGCAATCAGACACTTTCTTTTCATTTTGGCGGTAAACGGTTTTTCTCAACTATTAGTACAGTTTGCATAAAAACAGATTTTTAGTGAGAGCAGCTCTAGGTTCACGGAGTTGTCACAGGCCTAGTTTCATCTAATGAAGTTAAATTTAATATGAACATCGCCCTCTTCAAAAAAATTTATTGCTGGAAAGGGTGTGGGGTTGGTCAGTGGGTGTCTTAGCGAAGACAATACCAACGCCCAGTATCACGCCTACACCCACATCCTGATGATTCTACTAGTATTGATAGTAATTATTGAGATGATTATTTTCTTTGTTCCAATAATTCATCATTCAAACAGACGAACTGATTCTCTTGTAATATTAAATTCAAATATTTCTCGATTGAATAATTTACTCGAACATTTTCATTGTTAAAATTAAAAAACCTATTAATCTGTTAAAAAAATCAAATTGGAGGCTGAAAAATAAATTCATTTCTATTCATTGATGGATCAATTAAACACAGTCCATATCGAATATATTAGTTGAACATTCTTTCTCTATTCCGATGCATATAGTTCTACTTTCTCTCCATTTCATCAATGGACTGTATGCTTTTGCGCTTCGTGAGTTTTATTGTGATATTTTTGTTAATTTTTAGAGCTTTATTCGGTTGGACGAAGGTGTAAGATAAGAAGTATGTTTTGAAATCGATTTCATATTTGCATTCACGTCCGCAGTCAATTACGCGTATAAAACGAAGGATGTTAGATGTAATTTCAATATTTACTGATGTTGCATAGTTGAAGTCTTAGTGAATAAGACAAAACTAAAAAATCCTGAATAATTACGTCAAGAAAGTTTAACTAATTTTGCTATTCTCTATTATAAGTTACATTCATTTGAATTAAACTATCAAATATTTCTCAAACGTTCATCGAGACATTGTGACTTGCTTTTCGTAAATTAACAACGTTCGATCGAAATATTACGTGTAAAAAGTATTTCGTTACGTTCTGTTGCCAGTTGTGGTATGAAGAAAAATAAAGAAATTAAAATGCATTACCGATAGGAAAAGAATATCTTCTATTGTTGAAACTATTTTCTCGAACAGAACGCAAGAAAAGAAACTCAATACGTCAATACTATTCATCATTGACAAAGAAGTAACTGAGAAAAACAGCAAAATGATTCGCATTAAACTCAATTTCGATAAAGGTTTATTTTTGGTGGTGTCAACCGATATTTTACAGATAGACAAGGGACGCATTAAACATCAATGAAAATTCAAAATTTTTGAATTGTTTCACTTTGTTTCAAAAAGAAGAACTTTTCCCTTAATTATTTAATTTCAGATTCTTAGTTAAAAATGACCAATCGTAAATATACTTGGGCACCATTGGTTGATGATGATATGTTTATTGCAACTTGGTCACCCACAGACGAGGAATTGCGTCGCATCAAGGAGTTTCAAGAATATGAACGGCAAGGCACTGCTTTTGAAAACTTCCTTAGATTTGGATCTGGAACGGAACCAAGTGTGGTATTCGATGAAGTTCTCTTCCTGGGCACGTTGAATCATGGATCCAATTTAGATTTACTTGAACGATTAAAAATCGGTAAATCAAAATGTCGACAAACCGATGCTTGTCTAAGACTACTGTGTTCGAAAAAAGAGCGACTTTTTTTGAGAGCACAATTACTTGCAGAGAAAGACATGTTAACAAGATTCTTAATGTGTCTATAATTCTTGAATTCATAAAAATAACTTTTAATTTCAAAAAGTTTTTCCCCAACTCATAGTAGCTGTTTTCATCATAGTACAACATGCAGCTAGATGCATATATCCAATAAGACTGGAGATTAATCTGATATTAAAAAATTCTTCAGTTAAATGTACTGGAAAAACACTGTTCGTGCATCATATAATTCGTTCTAGTGAACTGTAACTTTTTATTCGATAGATAGATGCAACTTGTTTCGGATGAGGGAAGCAGATTTTATGTTCAATATCACAATAGTCATGAGTTTTATACAAAAATCTCATTTAATATTCTTGTGTTAGAGTGATAAGCACTCCCAATATTTGAATAAAATAGAAACCAAATTAGTTTCTTCTATCATCGGAAGCGTTAAGCAGTTCTCTTGAATATGAGAGTATTTCGATTACTATAACTGAAAGTGCGTTGAGAAAACAAAATATATGTATACTAGAAAGACTCCTTTCGTATCCTGTTAGCCAGAGCGCTTGCATCAACCAGATATGCCCATAAAACTACATGATAATATCATTCACTATATAGAAAACCGACTAGAACACAGAACAAAGATTAAATTGAATTTCACCTTGAAAGACGTTTGATGTCTTTGTTGCTTTTCCCAGTGCATATCATTAATGTAAGCGAAACGGATGCCAGCGACAAATTTCCGAGCAATCATTTTGATATCGTTTACATTCCAATGGAGGATGATGTTCGAACAAATATTAAACAGGTATTTCGAACAAAATATGAATTAACTTTTGAATGTCTTTTATTGCCTGTAGCATTTTAATCGTACCAATGAACTGTTACATAGTTATTACATGAAGAACGAGCGCTGTCTCGTTCATTGTGCTGCTGGTAAGTTAAAAATTAATTTTATTCCTTGGTCCAAAATTTATAACAAACATCAAATCATAGAACTTACTGTTGTAATCTTCTTGAAAATAGAAAAAAAAACTCTAATTTAATGTCTTGTTTTAGGAGTTTCCAGGTCAGCAACTATTGTCCTAGCGTATCTAATGAAAGTAATGTAAATTTAGAATGTATGAACAATATACTATTGAAATGTTGTTTTAGTATCATCATAATACAGTTACAGAAGCTTTTCGTTATCTAGTCGAAAAGCGTCCTCAAATATGGCCAAATCAAGGTTTCATGCTACAATTAATACATTATGAAAATGAACTGATTAAATCACGTGAAATTTTATCAACTTCCGAGACAAGTGAAGCATTTAACTCCACTGCTGTACCGTCGGCCAATGATGCGAAAAATCCAATTGAAACATTGCACGAATTCAAGAAGTGAAAGCAAGTATAATTTTGTGCCAAACAATAATTAGCAAGACCCAATTCAACATAAAACTAAAGTATTATATAGTTTTGTCCTCCACAAACATTGTGAACCAAAACAGTGGTCATATAATCTAAGCCATGACGATCAAATATGCATGTGCATTTTTTTTACTCTATATTTCAAGAAGAGAAAAATGTTACGTTGCGATCTGAGTTGAGTGTTAGCTCTGAGTGATATTGAAGAAATAAATCTAGCGGACATCCATGATTCAATTTAGTTGTGCGATACACCGAAGAGCAATTTATTTATTATAGTAATAGAAAAAAAGAAGAAATAATTGCACATACGAATGGCTTCAAAGAAGATATACTTTGCATTAATTAAAATCGTTGTGAGAAATAAAAAATGCTGCATTGTGAGTCTCAGTAGCCATAACTGCTTCATAAGGTTCATCAAGATCAGTATAAAAGAGTGAATGATTGATATCAAGAATAGGGATCATAATCAGATGATCCGAATCTTAAGGGTGTGGGTGTTAATATTGTCTTTATCTACGCCCCGCGTACCCACTGACAGCCACATCCTCAGGATGTATTCTCTTGATCTATGCTGTGAACCGTATAATAAAATAAATAAACGTGCTGATAGTATTCATACGATTAGGATCAATATTGAGCCTTAGATTTTTCTTTCAATTCGATCTTTTGTTTTTTTCGTTGATTCATTTAATAGGCCATGATTTTTGTTCTATCTCAGTTCGAACTCGATTGTCTAATGGATAAAATAACTATTTTATCTGATCGCGGCAGTAACATAGTGAAAGCATTAGAAGGTTAAAAACTAGCTCGTTGTTTCCCCCACAAATGAACAACGAACTTAAGCGAACATTCTCTAGTGCTGGTACACAAAAGAAAATCCAGTTACGGAAATGAAAATAACTATTAAAAAGCAATCAAAGTAATGATCCATGCACATGGAATGATTCAATAAGTAATGATGATGAATTTTTCATGGAGTTCGATGATCGAGATTCTAGTAACTGTGGTGATGATATTGTTCTTGATGAAAAATCTATGGAATTAACATTTCGAAGTTTGTCATCATCACATACACGTGATCATATGAACATATTAGAAAAAATATGCCCTCTGGTGCTAGCCAAACATTAATGACAATAATTCGACGTAAACAATTATGTTGTTACGTGAAACAGGTATTCTTAATTTCATCTAATAGCGATCTATCTATATTCAGATTTTTTACTCATGTTTCATTTAGATAAACTAAAATTCTATGTTGCAAGAATTAGGAAAACCCACTATGAAACAAGAAATAATCGTTCGATGGTTTATCATGTCACAATTACTTGAAAGTGTTCTTTCATCGTACACAACATTAGCAAACATTGCAAGAGAGAAGAGTACCATGCAAATATGTGACGGAACGTATAAAAGCTAGTAATACACTATCTCTCCATCTTGTAGCTACATCTTATTGGTATATTCTTGAGAGTCTGATTGTGACAAGAGGATGAAGCTACTAAGAGTAAATCACTTGTTAAAATATAAATCTAATAACAATATAAAATTTTGCAGGTCTCAGCTTTTTAGAAGACGTGCTCAGCAATTATTAAAAGCAATTTTTACTTTACACGACCAAATATGGAAATGCTGCAACGCTTGATTCTCGTCAACGTTTGCTGAAACTTGCTACCGACGTTGAACATGCTCGTGCTCATAAATTAGTTCTGTCTGAAGTAGCAAAAATTATGATAACAGAACATAATGATGATAATCCATCTGAAAAATCTCCAACTACTACTAATCTTTCGCCATTACCTCACAAGAAAGTCAAGTCCCTACAAAACATCATTCGACGATGTCACATTCGGTGAATCAAACGAAAATATTAGAATTTCAAAGCGTGCTCAATGTGAATTTGAAAATTATCTACAGGTGATGTTAACAGCGTGCACATTGTCCAACGACAACAATGATTGTTCACTCCTGTGTTGACAGGAACAAGAACACTTATTACCAATTTATGTCGAAAGTAGCAGAAAAAAGATGCGCTATTCCTGCTTCGTCAGTTGCAGTAGAACGTGCATTCATAAACTTTACTTAAGAATTCTTTGTAATCGTAATCAATAATGTCCAATAAATCACTGAAGATAAAATCAAGGATGAAGAAAAGTTTTGTTCGTATTTCACGGGTGAAGTGTGTCAAATATCGATGCCCTGTATATTTCTGTTCAGTGCCGAAAAATATTAGTTCAATATAAGTTTATTTGAAAGCCATAGATTGTAAAACAAAGGTATACTCCATGCAGTTTTGCTTTTTATTGATAGGAGAAAGATAGTGATGCAGGTAGATCTGGCGACTCGTTACTTTTTTTGTGAGAAAGATAAGAGGAAATATTGTCATTTAAATATTGACTGAAAAAGATGCTCCTGCTATGTTAATATTAGATACTTAACTTTGCCTTTAGTTACATGCACATTTTTTTTGGATTCGAATAACTAGTATCTCTTGAGACATACGTACTGTATTGAAAATTCAAAGATGAAGGTGAATAACTGCCAGCGATCTATATTTCAATATTCATAATGTTTCAATTTTGTTTTCTTTTAGCTTGTTCTTCTTTTCGTTCTATTTGGTGCAGTTGTGAGTAATTTGTCATCTGAATGGGATAAATTCAAACGTGACTACAAGAAACAGTATGCATCAGTTGCTGAGGAAAACGAACGTAGACAAATATTTATCGAAAATATTAATCGAATGCGTTTTTATCAGGAAGCTCATCCTTATGCAACATTCACAATGGCAATGAATCATTTAACAGATCGACGCATTGAGGTAATTTTCAATTTGAAATATAATCAATAAAACATTAGATACATTGCAGGAGCTTGTATCTGGATCAAAATTTCACCTTGACGCTCGACCAGTATTACTCAAAACTTCGATCGAAGTAAAGAATTTACCTGAATCACTTGATTGGCGCACGAAAGGTGTGATCACGCCTGTGATTGAGGAAGGTCCAATTGGAGTGATCTTGGGGCCCCTTGTGGCTACTGGTAAGTGTCATTGAATAGTAGTAAAATGAAGTCGTTTACTCTTTCATAATTATGTAACAGAACTCGTGGAGAGTCTTCACGCCATTCATACCAACAATCTCACGGAAGGCAGCATTCCAAGAGTATACGATTGTTGTCTGGTAGCACCCGATCCTTTTGAATGCATGATGAAGTTAGGTGGTATTTGTCGAAAGATTGACTATCCAAAAATTCTCGATAAATGCGAACCGAACGCATGCAAACCTTTCACTACGGTACGTGTATAGATGTATCAATATTTAGGTGTGTAATTATGTAGTTCAGATATGAGAAAATTATGTTCTTAGATTTAACTTAAAACGAGTGAAATAATTATATTTTGTGAATGTTTTTATTTTCAATACGTAAATGATTCTTTCAAACTATTAAAAGGTTTTGAATTTATACAAACAATAGTTTGACGAAATAAAGAGACTCATAGAGAAAGATGAAAACAAGATGCTAACTTGGATCCAAGAATCCACTCTATGGGTGGTAATGAACGGTTTTGGTAAAGGATTCGGAGATTACAAGGAAGGTATGTTGAGTGTGATTGATGCATTTACTTATATTTGTCCTTTTCTCTGTAGGTATTTACGATGAACCAACATGTCCTCAAACAGATGGAAACCATGCAGTAAAGAATAACAGAATCGTTAATATCATATATCTTTCAAGTGTACTCATTTTTAGATGCAAGTTGTTGGTTACGGTATCGAGGGTGGAAAACCTTACTGGCTGTGCAAAAATAGTTGGGGTGAGTATTGATTTCAGTGAGTTTATCTTGGTTATTCTGTGGAATTTCAGGAGATAACTGGGGTGAGAAAGGTTATATTCGTATGGTACGTGGTAAGAATATGTGTGGCATCGCTAATGGAGTCGTACAAGTGGCCTATAAAAAGACCAGCAGTGCCACACGATTACTCATCATGTATCCAACTTTTCTTACATTTGTATTAGCGATGATGATTTCTCGAAGTATCGCTATCTAATGCTAATGATAACATTGAACTAAAGAAGAAAATATGTGTTTTATTTCATTTCATTTTCTTTGTTCTTTTACATTTTCTATAGTTCAATAATGCACAAGGATTACTTGGATGTATGAGGTATGAAAGACGATCCAAACGGAGATTATCAACTTGATCAAAGTTATTCACATGTTTTAATGATTTATAATAGTCACTATTGGATTGATAATTTCGGGCATTTCATGTAATTAGATCAGAAATAGGTTATCCATGCTCGACTATAAATATAAGAGTGGATACTAGCAAGATGATGACATCTAGTAGGAACAGTTGAACACATACATTAAAATATCCAACAATCAACACTATACTGGAGTAAGAAATATCCGAGCGTTTAAAGTTCTTGCGTTTCGATGCCTGTTAAAACATGACAGATTATTGTGATAAATAAATAAATACAGTTTCTTCTCGTTCTATGGACTATTTTAGTTGATAACGGTCACGATCTTAGTCGAAAAGTGGCATCTTTGTGACAGCTGTGTGTATTATGTGATGATTTCTGATAGAAGTAGTGTTAGTTCGAATGAAACTAAGTTTTATTTTGGTTCTTTATATTGATTATCGCCCACCTTCTAATATTAACTACACCTTTTTACACGGAACTACAAACAAAAAACACGAAGAGAATATGAATAATACGAATAGTAATCATGGGATATCATGAGATAGTTGCGACGGAAGAAAGGACAAAGTGTGTGTTTACAAGAAATCTCGAGGGAGTATCAATTGATTTAACTAAGAAGTTAAAGTTGATAATGGTAGACAATATATTTGGTCGGAAACGTGTGACACATTATAGCCCACTGAAATTATATTAACTACGATAACTCGTTTAAAGATATAGTAAATTGAAATGTCAAACTGAAACTGATTCTACTTCGATTAACTGCTCTGTACTTTTACAAAACAAATGTTTTCCTGCAGTAAAATAGTATGAAACGGGCTTCAGTTAATACTGTCACTTTTTTCTGTCAACTTTAGAAAGATTTTAGACATAGATACTGTTGTATTTAAGTTTCTTGTAGATAAATCAACACCCACATGGTTAATTTGAAATTAAGGTTTAGTAAAATTAAGAATCATATTGTTAATATAGATTTTGGCATTTATCATAGCTATAGCAAAAAGTTTCGCTGATGGATACATCAATTTTCAATTCGAGCAATGATTAAATATCACTGGGTTCCAATTTAGAATTGAAAGTACTAGTTTTGCTAACGACTGGAGCAGAATAAAATAGATAAAATAAGTAATTGAATTCATTTAACAACAGATATACATTGAATATAATTCTCAAGTTGAGACTTCATAGCAGCAAAGAACACCGAACTGATTATAAATAAATGACAGTGTATAAAATTCCATTGAAGAAGTAAATATTGGTGAAACAAAAATGAAGTTTTTTAAATGTAATTCTTTCATAACAAAATACTTTTGAATCTTTAGAAAGCAAATTGGAAGAGAAACATAATTCAATGAGCAATAGTCGTCACAACTGTGAAAAATTCAAGCATAAAAGTTGCATCTCGAAGACAACTGAAATCCCGTGTCACTTGCGACATCTATTTGAACATCACTCATCAGTTTCTCTGGCACATAAAACAGTAAAAAGAACAAAATATAATGTTGGTTATTTTATAATACGTACTTTGCTGAGATATAATTATTGCTGCCGACTAAAGCAGCATCTGCCATCTGTTGTAACGTATATTTTCATTCCTAATAACCAGTTACGTTTTTTTCGTCCTTCTTTCCCCTCTCACTCACTGTAATTAATACGCATGACTATTTATTGTAAATACCTGCTGATTTCAACATTGTGCAATCATTGAAAATTCGGACATACATATACACCAATAACTATACATCGTAGCATTAGAAAAATTGAAATAAGTTCAATGGCTTATATACAGAATCAACAATACCAACAGAATGCCGGGCTGCCAGAAATTAATTTGAACGAATACAGTGGTAGAAATGTTGACGATGTAGTTAACGAACTCGAGGCACTCGGTAAATCTCTTCACGATTAAAGTCATGTCTATATGCATACAATAACGCTTCGTTTTTATTTCTATCTAGGCTATCACACACAAATATTTGATGCAAGCCTTTTAGTACGAGCACAACCACTACCCCAGGTTCCAAATGAAGAAACTTTGCACATTTATGTCAACAAGGATCGCAACACAGTGCAACAGATTACGAGAAAATACTAATCAAACAGTACATACACATGACATAGCTATCGAAAAATTAAATAAAGCTTGCTTATGTTTTTCCTATTAATCTGAAATAAATAATTTAATCGAATATTGCTACATGACTGCTGTAATTTCATTTGTCTATGGGAGAAATAACAGTACAAATACGAACTAGCAAATCGAACTGAGTGAACAGCTATTTATTCACGACATCTTGTCAATTAATATATAGCTGTCTGAGTAAAAAAAAATACACAGCGAGTAAAAGCTGTGTTATGCAATCAGTTTATTCTGACATATGCATTTTCATATGAGAAATAACTTTCAACACAAATGTGATAGTCTCCATAAAGAAATATCAGAGTTCAGCTGTCTGCCAAATGTTTAATACAATACTCAAAACCAATCTTCCTTGTAGAATATTTGTTATTTGTCATTATTTTGCTGCTATTCCGAGAAAATAAAATATAGCATAAGCAAGTTTCAAGATATATTCATCTTCATGATCGGCTGTTATGGCGCTATTTGTTGTTGGAACACCAAAGCACTTCGATAGACGATTCGATTGTCCTCTACTACAATATTGAAATATTAAAACGAAAAGTTTTTTTTACATCACTTATTTTATTTTGAGGTAATATTCTAATCTCACCATCATATGTTTCATGATAGTGGTAATTATACTGTTCTACGTAGTCAACATTATTATTATCGTCTTATACGAATGCTATGTTTTTTTTCTTACTTTCCCTGATCAGAAATGTTACACGACTGACAGTAACTCTTCGATCGATAATTCATCTGTTAGTTTTAGTAAAATTTTGACAGCTAAAGTTGATTTTCATATTGCAAACTTTATTAAAATAACAGTTTAAAAGAAATAGAAAGTCAAATATCAGCATCAAACGCACTTTCAATAAGCTCTGACTATATTTTTGCTACTTTGTTACCTTGCTATTCTGCAATCTTGTTTGTTTTTATCTGTGCTTTTGCGTTCTCTCCTCAACATCGATAAATAAAGCCTTTTAAATGAAGAAAAATTTTGTTCAGATCGGTTGATGTGCATTCTTTTGTTGCTCAAATCTATATTACATCAAATAAATAGAGTATAAGCAATGTTTTAATTTCTTTAATACACGCATTCGCCTCGACCAGAAACATAAATACAGATAGAACAAATATTGGAATTTGTGAGTTTTAGTCATGATTCTCTGATTCTTAATGTGTCTAGTGATTGAAATATTCTTTTTTTTTATAAACTGTCGCGAATATGATAGACGTATTTTTTCTATAGATTTGACGTTTCTAAGGTTCTCTTATAATATGACAATGATTTCGCGTTTAACAGTATTAAACCACACCTTATGTTTTGAAAACTATTGATTCTTCTTTCTGAAGTATTAATCAAGAAGTTTTTCCACATAGCTAGTGCCATTGAAAGAACAACATTGTATGGGCGCTCTATTAGGACTTACTCTTTTATAGTAAGAAGTAGGATCAAATGAGACAAGATATGAAAATAAAACAGTGGAAAAACTATTATTGTCAAAATGTTTCAGGAAAATACCATTACACAACACCACAGACCATTGTTAGGTCAGTGGTTAGAATAGCATCATTTTTTGAGACTGGACCTGATTTCAACCAACAAGTACCATTTAGATATGTAGTCCATGTGAAATGAGTACAATTTGAAGTATTCGCACATAATCCACCACAATCTTCTCCGCTGATTTGCACGTTAGACATATCATTTCCAGGAAAATCACATGACTTCGCCCAGTTATTTCCGGCCCACTGAATATTCGAATCATTTCCACCTGCATTACCATAAAGAACAGAGAACAATCTCATAATTTACTTTTGAGGCTGGTGTGGTTGTAGGTGTGAGAATGGGTGTTAAAGTTATCAATTCTACTGACATCCACACCCACACCCACTCCCATAGTAATATTGAAGATTCTTCGAAAAATGATGATATTTTCTATTGATCTTTGGTGAATATTTGGCGAAAAATATGTTGAAAAGATTTCACTAATGAACTCGATAAACATGGTTTCAAAAACAATATATTAACTTCGATAATACCAGACAATCATAGCTGACGGCATGAAACTATTGCTTAACTTCTATTTTAGATGAATGCTAAAATACATACCACTCATTTTGTTAGCAGCTTTTGTCCCCAACACACAGCCAAGGGTCACTCCCACAATACAAGCAATGATCAATAAGCCCATGGTAATAAGAAAGCGCTGTTTGGCATACCAACGACGACGTGAATGTCTAGTGAAAAATTAATTATCAAAAGTTTAAGTAGACATATTTGATGGAAATTTGAGTGTTGTATAAGCATTTTATCATGTAATTACTGTGCGTTACAGTTTTTCGCTCTTAGTATACACTCTTTAGCCAACCATTCATAGTTGCATCGTACCTACATCTTTTTTCGACAGACAACCACGGCAGTTGTTTTTTACATTAAACTAGAATATGCTGTCCTTTTTATTTTTGATCTCAACAGTGACTTTAACAATTGGGAAATCGATTCTGTAACTTATCACAGAAGGGTAGAACTGAAATGTTTAGTCGAATTTGTACAATGTGACATTCAAATTGTCTGTAAACAATTCAGATTTCAGTAACTATTATTTGCTCAATTAATCTAATGTTGGATCATTAAATCAATCACTTATTCAATGCTAAAAGTAAAGTATTAATAAAGCTTTCTGTTTTATCATTCAGTTCTTACAATTGTACCAGTAGGCATTATGTTTTTTTCTTTCTACTTTAACTATTTTGATTAAATTATGAATCCATGTCTTTTCTTTTTGTTTGACTTATCACACTCCATGTTTCTATAAGTTGTATGAATAAATTCTGTCACCTATTAAGTCGATCCAGAGTAGATTTACTATCAAACAGAGTTACTAAATCAACTGAAAATTAACGTTTGCTGGTTTTTACATCCATATATGAATCTGCTCATTACTGAATCAATATAGTGTCTGTAGTTAGATGAAGGCAAGTTAAGACTTACTCAAATTTTGGATAAAGACATGCACCTAAAAAGAAAAGCATTTCAGTTCTTAATAAATAGTTAATAATATTTTAAATGCCTTCGAATGGAGGTTCAAGGAGTAATTCTTTTGGTATCTTCTGTTTCAAATGAATGATGTGTAATTCGGAAGCTGGATTTAATTGTGCTTGTACTTCCATATATGTTCCAGGTAATAGTAAAACTTCCCCCTCATTGTTATACTCTGAATGATCCTTGATACTCCTACCATTAATAACTTCAATGGAAAAAATGGTTCTTTCTCCGATGGTTCCCAAAAAAACATCGCTCTTCAATAGATCTAGTGATATTGTTGTGGATGAGAAACACCACCACGTTACTTCAGCTCCTTTTGGGAATTCATCGTCGACATTCTTTCGTACTCCACGCCAAACGGTTTGTGTAGGTGCACACGGTATTTTAACCAAAGCAGTGAGCAGAAGTTTGAGATATTTGAACCAAGGTCGTAAAGACGTGCGATCGGTTGTCTTGAGAGCTCGATTAAGAAGAGAATAAAGGCTTCGATGTCAGCCAGTCCACTCCATTGTATAGAGTCGGATCGAAGCTGACTCTTCACGAGTTAGACCATCGGGCGGAATATCTGCGGTGTGCTCCATAGACAACGAAACATACTTCAGTATATCGTTAACAATCGGAATTAGTGGGATACATGCGTGAAAGAGCGAAATAATCTCCTCTTCTCCATAACCAATGATAGGAGTGGGTGTTATCTTTTCATCTACAGTTTCAATGAGTAAACGATACCTTCGGGCGCTGTCGACTATGTCCATCTTCTCAAAAATATTTTTTCTATCTAAAACAAAAGAAAAGCAAATGAAAGTCAATTGATAAAGCTGTTCGCACAACTCCTTGTGAGATTACAATGTAAAACACGATAAACCAATTATTACTAACCCCCTAAAAAATGCCAATTTTTCATTTATCTTCGAAAGCATGTCTTCATTACTGCTTACTATATAGCATATAAATTCCAAAAGCAAACATTACATAATCAATCAATTGAATAAGATGCGGATGTGGATATGGGTGTCAGTAAAAAGATATACACCCACCCACTGTTAGCGTCAGTAGATGACACTCAATGACGCTAAACATTTATTTGTGTTACTGGTTGCTATGATCTCTATTTTGATTTATTACATAATATTTCGACTATGACTGATCCTCGTGATTGGTTATCGTTCGCTATTGCGCAGTTGTTGGTTTTTCTTCTTCCGGTTATTATCAGTTTTATTATTATTATTATTATTATTAATACTATCACTTTCGATATTATTATATTCTTCACTGATGATTATTGTTATATTTCTTCAGTAGAAAATAAAATATATTATTCTATTAAATGTATAACCATCTTAAGACAACAAAGTACGGCAGGCAGTCTATGTAAGCCCTCTTATTGTTTAGCAGACAAACTATTAGTTCTACATTATACATTCCCCCAAACGGGAGTCTTACACTCACACCCTCAAATATATATTATTCACCAAAACTCACTTGCAGACAATGTCTTTTATAAAAATTTCCAAAAGCACTTGTTTTCCGTTTAGATTTATATATATAGTTTTCAAAGAGTTTGCACTATTTCGAATGATAAAAGAATTTGATTTTAAACAGCTGTTCTCTGTGTCAAAAGTCGCAGCATGGCTTGATATTTTTTTTTTAATAAATGCGTCATGAGAAAAATGACTGTAGATGAATCAATATTTCCTACTCGTATCACAGAGAACTTCGAAAAAGTTTCTGTTAGCAAAAATTTAATTACTATAATACGAAAGTAATACTAAAAGTAATATAAAGTCCACTGGGTCTAGATAATGAAGAAGGTCTTCTGGAAAAAAAATACTGTGTAAAAGAACTTACTTTTCTCGTAGTAATCGTTTGAAATTGTACGTACTGAAGATGAATAGAACACTGCAGTCTATCGATGTTGTTTTATGCAAAAAGTAAATGCATCAGTTTTTTATGTAGATATTATAAAATTGATTTTGTTTGTGCGCATTCATCTATGCATGTTATATAGCTCGTCGCACATTGGTGAAATCTCTAGTTTTTCTCTCATCAAAATAAAATGTTTATTTTATTTTATTTATCTCTCAACGCCCTGTCAAGTTGAAGACCGAAAAACTTCTATGAATAGAATGCTTGAAAAATAAATTGCGGTTTGCTATTAATTTGATTTTTAGCAGTCATCATACTGAATCGAAAAGAATATTGGTATCTCACAATCACGTAATGGAGGGTAGCATCAGTTTCAATTCTTTTTTCAAAATGATTTGTTTCATCGATTTAGTGACTTCGGAAATGTTGTGAGCCAGATATAACTCTACGAACTTGATCTATTGTTGAACTCAAACTTTTGACGCCAGCTAATCGAAAAAGAAAGAAACCTAAAAGTACTATTTTTACTGTAAATCATCGTTGTCCTTTAAATATCTTACTTCATTTCTTCAGAGTTAGAATGAAACTGATCTCTTAAAGAAATAAAGACGACATAGTCAAGGAGGAGAAAACTCATTCCGAGCCATTCAAATGGCTAGTAATGCCCGAATGAATTTTTTGCCTCTTGATGTGGTGGGTGTGATTGTCGGTTTCCTCCACGTCAAACCACACTCAAACCCTAGGCAATTCAAACGAATAGATCAAAACGTCGTTCTTTTTGATAATTGCTTTATTTATTGTGACAAAGTCGCCATGAGACGCTGACCGTCTACCAAAAAGTCATTAAATATCCAACATCAGCTAGATAAAGACTGCACATTTCTTTAAAAAAGTAGCTAAAATGAACATTCAGTGAGAATACAGGCAGCGAGGCAAGAACACAGATTTTGATTATGGTATGCTTGACATACCCACGCCCAAAATATCAACGAATTAGCATGATGTAGTTGACGTTGATGATCATCTACAAGAATCTTTATGATTACCCAAGATAAATATAAGTTGGAATTTTTTGAAACTGAAACAAAGCACTGATGTGTGGTGGAGTGGAAGGATCTATCTAATGGTTCATTACACTCTTGACGTTTCGCATCACAACTGCAACTACGAGATTAATCACGCAACTGATTTGTTTTGCGCCTCAAGAGTGTATGTTTCGTCTTCTTGATGTTAAGTTCATCTATAGTAACAATATGTTTTCACATCATATACTGCCTGACATATCTTATAGGCAGTGTTACCACACAAACTTAAACTTTCGCATTAATATTCCTTGTCGACAAGCTTTTTCACTATCTGTTCGCAACACCTAGAGCATTTAACATAGTTCGTTAAAAGCATTGAAACACTTCGTAAACTCGAATAACTCTTTATTTATTCTGCGAAATAATCATCGCACGCTATTTGTATTCTCTGCTCGCTTCTGTTCACATTTGTTTCAAGACAGATATAATGAAATTCGTGCGACAGAGAACGTTGAGAAATCTTTGAATCTGCTGTGACATTGATTTTAAATTCAATTCTATATTCAAGCTAGTATCTCTTGGTGAAGAATATAATGAGATTAAATAAATATAGGGAAGTGGCTTACAGTAGACAGTTGAGATACAAGAAATAGATGACCAGTAGTTTTTTAGTGATAAATAATAATTTATTCAACAACGTTTACACTAAAGCAAAGCACATGCATTAATTATCTCCGTATTGCAGTCAGCAGCCGTTGTTGAGTAAATCGAAGCGTTGTACTCTGTGGTTTGGACCGTCGCTAACATAAAGATTGTGGTGAGCATCAAAGCCGAAATGCCTTGGACGCTGAAGACGCTTATTAGAATTACCAGCAAATCCCATGCCTATTCACAAAAACAAAAATATTTTAATTGATTCTTTGATGTTCTAGAGTTATGCCGACGAGCTTCTTCTCCAAATGGATATTCACCAATGGCAAATATCGAGAGTTCTATACAAGTTGGTGACAGTATATAGAAGTACACTCGGCGTAAATCTTCAATATGTATTGTCGAAACCTCTGGAATCTCATTTATCTTGAATGCCTGATGTTAGGATCAGAGAAGACAAACGTACTTATACGCAATTTAGGATGTAGGCTGTGGGTAGATGATACATGAAAACCCACATCGTAGAGGAAGCACTTGATCGGATAAAAACTATCATAAGAAACACTAGTAAAAGATTGGTCATAGAGAATAAATACATGAATCTTTAAAATTTCTCTGAGTACAATTTTGAAGTTTAAAACGAATACCTCTCTCAAAGATCACTCGTTCAGTCTTCTATGCAACTGTATTTTCCATTGGTCCAAATACACCATGTAACTATATGAGAGCATAGGGTTATGAATTTGTTCAGAATGAGAAAGGCTACCACTAGCAAACCTTTTTTGTCCTTTTTTTGATAAAATATATACAGATTATTCAATCAATATTTGTTTCCCTTCTACAATATTACTCTATCCATGAAACATTGAATATGATTGAATAATAATGATTATTTACAGAAAAGATATATAATATGAAATTCTTGTAAGGAAATCATTGCAGCTATTTTTGTATAAACGATCGATAGCAACATAATGAATGTAAAACAAAAATTGATTGAATGAACTGTAAATACTAAATGAGAAAAGCATAAAATAGGTTTATTAGTGGAAGAAGGATATCTTAGGTGCGAATTCGAGTAATTTTCAGGATTGATTCACGCATGAATATGCCTCGACATCACTTTTCTATATCTCAAATACAACTAGACGAACTCTATCAGCTCATTAAGACTGCATCGCCATAGTGTAATGCGTTTGCTTCATATTCTTATTACATTAATTGTTGTAATTTTAGGATCAATTCTCCTATGAATATGTTTCAATACTATTATCATATGTTCTAAGTACAGACTGACGATTTCTATCGAATAATATATATTTCATCTCGAATCTATGGTCGATTATCGAGATATCATCAATTTGCTACCCCAATTTAATTTGTTGTCCAGTATTTTCTTGGTGAATCTGCACACGAAATTAATTTTAAAAAGGTTATCTAATGACAAGCAATGCTCTTCTAGGGTTTTCTCGGTTACTGAAAGTTGTATCAAGGAATGATTTTCACCATCTGATGAAGCTCGTCGACTTACCCTTGAAATATGTTCATCAACAAATTGTTGGTTAAAAAGAAATTTTATCTTTTTGAACAAACTATTTTCAGTATATTCTTATCAAATTACAAGTTATAGTCACATAACAACGGAATCAGTACCGTTTGACAGAAATATTCGCTGTAAACTTTAATATATTACACAATGAAATTAAAAAGACTGAGGATTTGTATGTTTATATTACGTATGAAACATGTTTTATTCAGAGCTTACTTTTAAAGGAGAATCATCTCAGATTGGCTGGTAGTATTCAGAAAACTAAGCAAAGTAAGACAAAAATTGGAGGACGCGGATCCGACATGAATGGCAGCTTTTATTCAGCTATGGGAACAGAATTGTAGAATCTCAATTTTGTATATGCTTAATTGCTTGTCGAACGAATGAAAATAGAGAAGAGCAACTAGCAATAAATTATCAAGATATTTCTATCAAATATTGGAGCGGCATTACTTTCTTTTACTGATTACTGTATTTACTTTCTGCACAGAAAACACAAAGATAAGTATCCGCATTTTATCCACTCTTGGATATATACTGAACATCTATACTCTAAAATTTGATCTTGATTGAACTATCTAACAATGTTAGCTTTTGTGAATACTACTTTAGAATTAATGAAATTCATAAACGATATTAGTATTAGATAAGAAGATAAATTTACCTGCAACAGTGCGCATGTCACCTTTATCATTGAGTAACTGAACGACTCGGGGCCGATTAAAATCAGTCATGTATAGCTGTCCAGACGAATCAAGCATCATTATCCCACAACTGCCGTAGCCAGTAGGGTCCATGTTGTTTAATAAATTACTTATGATTATAGTGCCTGTTATAGAACCGAATGAGAACTTCGCCATGATTTTCAGTGCCATATCTAATACGTAGAAGGAACCTGATGTCTCGTCAACAAGAATTGAGCATGGATGTGTTAACATTAAGCCATTGGTTAGTATGAGATTACTCTTGGTTATCATTACCATACAATCGCCAGTTATATTCATAATAATAAGAAGACTGGGATTCTCATAGCCAGTAATATAAAACAGATTGCGCACTCCGTCAAACGCGATAACAGTAGAAGAAAGCGTAATATTAGTACCATCTGGATTGCACTGCGGTACTCTAGTGTAATTGGGTGAGCCACCTGAAATATTGAGTGGAAACCATATAATACTCGTTAAACGCATTTCATATGTGTACAACCGTCCTTTTGAAACTATACGAAATGAAGATAGAGATAAACAAATCATTTCTGAATAAATATTAGCGAATATCTCAAAAAAATCTGGGTCAGCGTAGCCCGGATTTGACTGAAATGTAGAACTGAGACTGCATTACCATCAAAACTACAAAACAGAGTTTCAGGAGCATACTCTCTGTCGAAAACAAGAATAAATATAAGTTAAAGCTGGCACTTTGACTTCTTTTCTTTCTAAAAGGAACAGAAAGTTGAACTAAATAATGTTTTGTTTTTCGTACTCGAGCATATAATACAACATCTGTTAATTCTTTTGACGAGAAGAAAGTTCAAGTAATTATTTTATTATTGAGAAACAGTGATGTTGGAAATTAACATAAAAAATCCTTAATGAAGTTGCGTACTGTTTCTCTGTCGATAACGAAATTTATTTCTCACTTGCTATTTTCCACCTTTAGAGAATCAGTATCAATCAGAAAAGTACTTTTTCATTCCATAAAATCGTAAATCATTGGATGCAGAATATAATATTGGTCCCAAATGTATCGTTCTTGTCAAAACAAACTTAATGAATCACAACATGTCTCGTTTCTCGAGAAATTTTTAACAAGGACATTTTCAATTTTAGTTTATAGATGAGAATACTTCTTGAATGAATATATAATCTAATTATTTCTACATCAAAATAAGTAAATCGCTCCACTACTTCAATGTTAGAACTTTCGATAGGGATTGGGTGTATACAGAAACGCGAGGAAGACTAACATTGGTTGGCATGTACCCCACTCACTGAAATAAGTCAAACCCAACACCCACACACTGCTTTCTCTATTCTCTCTTTGGGTGCACACAAGATCTTTGTTGGCTTCTTAGGAAAAGTATTCTTGTGAGAATTTTTAGTTTATTTTAGCATCTGGACACAAAATTTAAAATTGATCATCACCTAGCAAACCATCTGGAGATCTGAGTTGATTCGGTTCCTCTCCAGATACACCAGTGCCCGCAATGCTACGGCCTTCGGTCGAATTCGTCGGCCAATAAAGAATACGTCGATTGAGAAAGTCTTGAATATACAAATTGCCCATGGCATCGACAACAATATCTTCAGGATAATAAAGTCCACTCAGTGATGAATCAGATGTACTGTTGGAAAAGCCAGCTACTGTTACAGCTTCTCTCTTCCATGTCGCATTTATAGAACATAGAGGAATAATGGGAACTAGTAATGAACCACATGAAGTATTATTAATTTATAAAACATAAAACGATATAAGATAGCTACCTGGTGGTGTACTTTGTAATGCTGTGACAGTAGCCGTTGCTAAAAGAATGACACAATAATGTTAAAATCAGGAGAGTATAGTGAAGATTTATGAAATATTCTACTTAATGAACAAGTCTCACAGCAAAATCTAGCTATTTTTATTCTAGTCACCTACGCTTCCCCTTTATGTATTTACGTACATGCATCTTCACGATGACCAACATAGTTATCCTTAATTCGTGTGCACACTGGATATTGATAAATCTTCGTATAATATACAAACTATAATATGTATCTAATTTTCGCTAAACTCAACTTGTGTAATGGCTATGATCTTAAACAACATTCGATCTTCAGTCAAATGTTCAACAGTTTTGTTGAATTCGAAAACGTTGATACAAATATAGACGAAAAAGTTAAAAATGATGAGATATCAAACATTTGAGAGAGAATCTACCTTTTTCGATAGCTCTTGATGTCTATTTTACTATTGGCCCTTTTTCTGTGATAAAACAACCCTTGGGTAATTCAGAACCAAGCGTCTGATTGCACTTTGATTAAAAATATATTAGCACTATTACTCCTGGAAGAAATCAAGAATATTTTCAACTCTTTTTCCAATAGTTTCAGAATTATATTTTCACTTAAATGTATTAAAAGCATTAGGCAAAAATGTAACAGAGAGAGAGAGAGATAAAAACAAATCAAGAAGATCAGTATAACAATTATGATGCTAACTGATCATGACAGTGATAGACATTTTTTTTATATCAAAATATTTATACCAGATACACATACAAAATGTTCTAGAAATCAATCGACATGAAACATACAAATAGTTTTCTCATAGATCAAGTAATTTGGATAAATTTTCTATCATTTAATTTTTGTTTCTTCAAAGTTTATTCAGCATAATGGTTTAATTTTAGGTTTAATTTAAGTTACCTACAATTGTAAAACGAAACTTATCAGCTGAATTCAATGCAGCAATAGCAAATGACGGTAGTATTAACGATAACTCTCCACACTATGAAGAGACTGATACTTTAGCAAACAAACCACATTATAGATGTTTTATAGTATTGAGAGAAAGAAAAGTCCAGGAAATTGTTGTTTATTAGTGAAAGTATATCAACCTAAAATATTCTAGCTTTCACACGTGGTTCCCAAATAGATTTCTCCGTTTCAATAGAATGCAGTAAATAATTGTAGAAAACGATGATTTTAGTCTATTGCCAAGATTGAAAAAAGAGTACTCCTATCTGGTGTTATCACCAATAATGTGAGGAACTAAGCTTTTATTGTCACGGTCCAGAGACAAAGCTTTCAGGGGGGACAAGTGGTATTTCAAAATGAAAAGTCTCACTTTTCGCCTCTCAACAATATGCCAGCATCCATTCCTTTCACATCTGAAATGATTTCTCGATGCTCCTATTTTTTGACTTATTAATTGACCACAAGTACGTTTTGCTTGGAGGTCTTTACTACGAAACCAAGAATGTGCCTGACCGATTAAATATTTAACTATGATATGCACTCATTTTTGTAGATAAGGAAACAGTTCATTGAATTTCAAAATTTCAAGTGTATTGAAAACTTTTAAAATCCTTTTGAGAAGTTTGCCGCCATATAATGTAACGCTTATTAATAATTTCGTTTCACGAAAATGTAGCGACGTTACCAGTAGATAGATCACGCTCAGAATGGGTTTTTGTCTGATTGATATATAGTATGAAATAATGCAGAAACTACTTACTTAACGACGTGGTTGAATTACTGTTTGCAAGCACACCATCACGATTGTCTGAAATAGCAATATATTAGTTCAGCACATATATACTTATGTAACTCTACCGAGAAATAACCGTGGGACAATGGTTGGTACTACAATAAGTGCGACAGCGCAAATAAAGATGATTACGACCACTAGAATCTTGATTGAGATACGTTGATCATACCTCCAGGGATAATAGCATAAATGGGCATGAGTTCTTGCCGTGGTGTCTCGATCATTGAGTACCTGTTGTAATTACTTTAGGAAGGAAAGATGGACAAAAATAACATACCGAAATATTTGCTGATGTTGAAATAGAGGTAACAACAGTTGATGGTTGAACAGGAAGTGTGTATCTAATGAGAGATTATTCATTTGAAACAAGCTCAGTCATATAACAACAGCTAACTTACAGTGGGACAGTTCGCCGGCCGTTTCGAAAGAAATCAATCAAATGATTATATCCCATCACCAATAATGGACAAATAATACGAAAAAAAACAGTTAGCCCCCCTATGAGACCAATGATTGTTGTCAGCACATAGAGAATGTCAGGTCGTGCACTATATATATAAGTGCACATAGAAACTTCACAAGCTCGGAAAAATGCCTCATAATCATATTGACGAAACCAGTTCTCAACGAACAGCTCATCAAATATCGAACCTATTGAAGCGTTAGGTAGGAAATGGCTTGACATCATGAGACTAGTTGGCAATGATTTCATTTTCGTATGGTCAAATAATGCATAATGCAGGGTATCGAGACATGTTTGATTGTAGAAGCATTCAAGAGTCGACTGAAGTAATACTGGCAAAGGTAAGCATCCAATAAGTAAGCCAGGAAAAGATATGTTAGTGATACTCATCGGTAAGGAACATTTGTCTGAACTGGCACATGAGCAATTACCATACCAAACTGGTCTGGTTCGAATGAATCGAGTTTTTACGGGGGGGTTCACTATGAATTGCCAGTTGCTCATGTAACTTGACATGATTGCATTCCCATGTATTATCGCTTCCAGATAGTCAATTGCTTGCCGAAAAGAAAGAGATATATCGAGAAGTAGTAGACTGACAGTCTTATTGATCTGTGCTTGAAACTGATCATTCGTCAAGATCTGTGCAGCAATGAATTGTTTACCAACAAAAAGTGCTAGAGACGTATTCATTGTATCATTGGCCATTGTACAAAAGCTGGAGAGAAGAGAGAGTTGACCAGCGAGAAACTGTCCTTTAAACCTTATTGAATCAGGATCAACAACCAAACTATCGCCCATTAATGCTTTTAGATAATCAAGTGATAGAAACTGACTTGAACATATTGGATGGTACTTGAGAACCTTGAACAGAAAATCTTCAAAGTGCGTAACCCTTCATGAGACTCGAATATGAAACTGTTATAAAATGTGGATGTGGGCATGGGTGTCGGTGTGGGGATGCTTTAATAGTTTTAACCGACATCCACATCCTCATTGAAACTCAATCGCAATCATTATCAATAAAATACTACGAAGATAAAAGCAAAATCTTCTTCCATGGTTTTCTCCTTTGATACACCATGATTGATTCCTAAGCAACTGAACTAAAGACAAAAAAAAATGAATATTCAGAAAAATTACTTCAGGCGACACCGTGTTAACGGTTTGATGACACTAGTCAGTTGGAAAATGGACAACACAGCTATATTTAATTTAATTTTCCAAATATTAACTTTTTTCAACCTGTGGCTCAGAGTGACTACGGTTGAATTACAGCGTATTGTATCAATTCCCATTAGGCTTTGACTAGTGTCACACAATCCTGGCTATGGATCATGTATTATTTTAACGATCTTTCGCCAATCGCAATACTTCAAATATGAACCGTAGTACTCAAAAGTAACGCATTGGCTACTGCGCCTAGTTTGACTCTATTCTGAGAGTAGAGTTGAACGATAATAGTATTGTACCAGAAAAAACCTTGTAGCGTACACGTTTGATTTTTTTTTACATTCTTTCATTTGAGACTACACAACTAGCTAGCTCCTTGTCGTTCGTAGGCGTTAGATTCTCACTGAAAAAACATTCGGACGTACTACACAGCTTACCTGCCTCCTTTTAGAACGCACTCATAAAAGATAGAAATTCTAGATACAAAAAACAATTTTGTGTTGATCTTCGCCGTAGATACTCTGTGTTAAAGTCTTATTCCGATAAGAAAAGACTTTTATGATTTATCTGTTATCATAGTGCCATGTTTTCCCAATACTTTAGTCTACATTTGTTGAACATATACTATCAATTAGCTAGACGAATTGACAAGCAAATAATTTGGTGTCAATGATCGCTCGTTTAGTACCGAAGCAAGCGACAAAGAAATCTGATTCAATCAAGAAAAGTCGGGAACAAATAATATTCTTCATAAATTTTAGAAAAGATCTGAACTATCGAAGAAATATTCAGACCAAATTAATTACACTGATCAGAAAACAATTTGAGACTGAATCTGAGCGGTTCTAGCTCCATTATTATACACAGAGAATCGAACTGTGAGAAAAGCGTTTCAAGCGATAGAAAAAGTAGGTTTAGATCTTTCTTTCTAAAATAGGATTTCTATTGCTTATCGACCTGTTAATCAGATTTCCAAGAAAATCCGACTAATATGTCAGTTCATCGTCTTGAATTACTCCTAAGCTATTTTCCTGAAAACTAAATTTTTATTGTTTTCTGATGAGCTAATCGAATTCCCTGATCGACAAATGCTGTCTCAATTTTTAATCGAACAGAGTGCAAAAAATCAGCTAGTTGTATACTAAAGTAAGAATTGGTGACTATATATTGCAGTTTATATTGGACACTCTCTCTATTTTTTGCTGGCAATAAAATAACACCGAAGGTAACATGAAAATCTCTACTATTCGCAAAGTGAAGCTTATTTTTTCGTTATGTATTTTTTGTTTAAAAAACAAGTGAAATTTTGTGAAACCATTTATCATGGGAAACCTCTTCATTTTAAAATGAAAAGTTAATTCAATATCAGAAACCATATTCTACTATGAATAAAGAAATAATAAAGTACTTGTTACTACTTGGAGACAGTAAAACAATTTAAAAACAGAGCATGGTAATGTGAAGTACTTCATTATCTTTTCAGTGATAGAAAAATATTTTCTAGTATCGAAGCAATTGTTCAATTTAACAAAGTAACATAAGATGTCAAAACCCTATATGAAAAAGTTCAAGTAATATTAATTTAGACAACTGTATTAGCCCACTATATTAATAAAAATAAGGTTTTCATGAATTTTTTATCTCACATCAGATTAAATAATAGTCTTTACATGAATCACATTTTCTCATGGCTAAGACAATACGGTTTGCACTGAGTTTACCTTGAGTGAAACAAACATCGAATATTGTATTGAAGCATGTTTGCATGGACATGACAAATCTGTTGTATATTTTTCGTAGAATTGGGTGACATCGGCCGATGACGTTAGCTTCATAGTTGCAATGTGTTGATTTTCGACGAAAAATAAGTAAATTGTCAAACATATAGTGGCACTCACTAATAAAACAACATAGACGCGTGTTGATAGACGTTCACGTTGCGCAATATGTACATGTGGCGATTGAGAATCAAATAAGTTGATCGTCCGTAAGTAACGCTTCGCATTAAAAACTATGCTTGGTCTGATACTGGTCCCGACTATTGATGAGTTGGCTATATAAATCAAAACGATGATGTGACGAATATGCGAAATTTAAAACGTAGAAACTACAAAACAAGTACTGAGATACTTACTTGAAGTTGATACAGTGTTAGTCCGTCGCCGGTGGACATAGAACTTGATGAGCCATGAACAGACGATTTGAAAAGATACTGACAAACCACCAAAAACAGCTGCTAATGTAGTTACGACGTAAATCAAATCGAGTCTGTGAGTATATGTGAATACACATTTCAGAGGTTTGCAAGATCTATAATATGCTTCGTAGCTGATCGTTTGTCTCCATTCCTCAACCATTATTTCATCAATTATATCACCAAGAGTACTTTTTGGAGAAAAACGAATCAATTGGCTTGCATTCAATGGATTAAATGAGATGTCCACTGGAAAAGGTGTCAAATTGGAACTAATAATCTCAATACATGTATCATTGAACCAACATTCGAGTGTTGATTTCCGAAGTCCATCTAAAGGATAGCATGCACTGTACATGCCTGGAATCTCAGTGATTAAGGTGAATATGGAACCATTACTACTCCTATTGAAGAATCCCAATAGTTGACTGCACATACTAAGTGCACATGAGCAAGTCGGTAGCATATCATCAATCGATGACATTGTTCCAAGATGTGTTTGTACTCTTATCAGATTTTGATTACTGTCAAAGATTCCATCCAAGAAAAAGTTCGAAACTCGACTGCTGAGAAGTTGATTTCCTCGGGTGGTCTCATGTGCAAGGACGGACATATATTTGAATGTTTGCTTTACATTTGATAGGAAATTACTTATAAGCACTTGTGTCTGCTCATTAAAGTCTTGACGAGACAGTGTTTCAGTAGTAATCAAATAAGTATTGAGTAGAGTGGCCAATGCATCATTGATCGTACTATTGGAAAGAATACAATACGAGATAATCGCTCGAAACATGTCCAAGCCGTATAAACGAATGTCTAAATAGTAGTACGCAGATCTGATGTGGTCTATATAGCTCAGCCGATCAAGTGAATCGTCGGAAAGAAGCTCACTTGAACAGATTTGATGTAGTGTATATGTAACCGATATAAACGCTGAGTTTTGAATTGCGATTTCTGAACATGGACATGATAGAGTTTGTCTTTCAGTCTGAGCAATCTTTTCAAATTCTGCCACCGATGGTAATACTACCGTATTTATTACTGTTCGCTCGCTGAATCCAGTCGCTAAAATCAAAATCAATAAGGAAGTAAACAAACAGCCGATGTAAAGTCGCGTAGTGAGAATTTGCTCCAGAATAGCAGAAGCATCGCTGTTCCGACGATAGAAAAGATTGAGATTGCGTAAAGCATTTCGAATACGGTTGAACAACGAACAAATCCATTCACAAAGTGCTACACGAGGCCCTGTCACAGAAGAATAAAATGAAATCGTATTGTTACATTATTTGAGTCGTCCTTGAGGGTTCGGGTGTGAAGGTAATCAAGTCATATAAAACCCGCTCCTACCTTTTATCACGTACATCGAGATCACGGATGACTTTCTGTACCTATTTTCTAATGTTCATAAATGTAAGGCTACGTCAGCATAATCTGTAATATAATGTATTCTAAAGTTAATTCATCTACTGAGAGACTATATCATTGATACCATTTTTCAAATATTATAAGCAAGCAAATATCGTCTTTCACTGTTCCTGAACATTTTAAATCATTACTTTTACTTACCAAGTCGCGGAGATTCAGCAACAGGAGGTTCAAGTCTGCGTACATATCTA